TCCATTCCTTCTTTCACATCTCCAAATATATTAAACCCACTTTGTTAAAAATTCCTTTTGAATTCTCTTCTTATATGTGTTACCCCAATTGTGGCTGTCTGTCATGTCAGTAGGTCACCTCAAATGTATTTTAACTTTAGTCTGTGAGCTCATCAGTTATCACTTGTTTGAATTCCTCATAAACTTCCCATTGTGTAATAATACTATTAGTACATAGATTTCATAGGTTAGTTGGTTTTTTTTTTATTAACTGTTTCTGCATTCATAGTTTCTTCCCTACATGAGTGGTTCAAATGTGAGCCTGAATTTGGCTTACCTTGAGAGTTCTATCGTTGCTTGAGACTCAATTTCCAGCCGTGGCCTGGTGCAAACCCTGACAAACAGATATAGATTAATGGTGCCCTTTTCACAGATAGTGCCTATGTGAGCCTTAGATATACAGGATAGCTAGTCCCAAATTCTTCGAAGGCACAATGTCTGTGGCCTTAACTTTCACTCCTGATCATATGTTGAAAACCCAACCTCCCAAAAAGATATAAGGGTGATGAAATCTCTTACCCACTATCAAAATTTTTGGTTCCCTCTTGATATGTGACTCTTAGAGATTTCTCTTACTAGTTTTCATTTTTAAATGAAAACTTACTAGTTTTATATTTTAAAACTTTAAAATATATTGGGCCCAACTTTTCAAAGTGATTAGAGAGGTGAAATATCCATCTTGACAGCAAGCCCCCTTTACACTGCCCTGACTCTTTATCTTCTAACATCTAGTGATGTCCCAATTTTGTTTTCTTGTTGTTCAACATTCCCATAGGAAACAAATGAGTTTTGAAAAAGTAGAAACCCCTTGTTGAAGCTATTAAGTAGCAATAGTTTGCTGCAAAAGATCTTTCAAACAAAGGAGAAAAAAGAGAAAGGAAATTGAGATAGAAGAGGAGGAGGAGAAAGATAGGTAGAGAAGGAAAACAGAAAGAACAAAAACAGCAAGATCTGGAAAGAAGAAAAACATAGAAGCAGAAAAGTTCCCATGGACTAAGAAACTAGCAATCCCCCTAAACATTGTTATTCTCTTACAAATTTAAAAGATAGGCTGCAATCCTACCCCACCACGAGAGTATTACTGAGGAAATATCCAAAAGCCTAAAGTTCATACCCCCAAACCAATCCGTAAATGGATATCTATCTGCCCACAGCACTGCATTGCACCTGATAATAGAAAATGGGATGTGACCCATGGCTGTCTTCTTTCCCACAACCTCTTCCTTATATAGTAGCTATGGAATCTGAAGTTCTCCCTAAAATACACAGATCTCATTCTTGCTTTGTTTTCTTTCAGCACTGTCTCGATCAAGTATTGGTAAGTTCTTTTACTTTTCTCCAATTCAATTCAAGGTGTCCCCAGGTTTGAATGGCAACAATGGAGATATCTAATCCCTTACCTCCTTGAGCCAGGACTGACTCAGGGGTTGGTGTTCCCAGGGGTTCCCTATTCTGATACTCCCCAAATTAAAAACAGCAACAAAAAATGCCAAACAATCACATAAACTTTTTGTGTTTCTTTTTAGGAGAACAAAAGAGTAAGTTCCTTTTCTGTTTCTTAATTCTGTTCTCTTTGGTGTATCACAGACCTGGGGATCATGCCCTAACTCTGGTTAGTCTTGTCCCTTATCTTCTTTTCCTTCTCCATCACTGAGCATTTTATCTGAAATTAATGGAAGCTTTAGAAAATGAAAAGTCCATTGATTAAGAATAAAGAGAGAATTCAAATGGTTTTTGCTGGGTATGATGATTTCAGCAAAACAAAATACCTTCTTTCACTCAGAAGCAGGAGGAAGGAAGTTGTTAAAAGGGCAGAGAATGGGAGCAAAGAGGAGAGTTGTAATTAAAAGAAGCCATGTTTGTTGAGTCCATACTTATAGGTATTAGAGATGGGAAAAGTGAAGCTCAGCGATATTATCTAACCCAAAGGCACATAGCTCATAGAAAGTGAAACTGAAGTTCTGAACACTAAGTTTTTTACTCTAAATCCCTTGCTTGTCCAACTACCCCTAGAACACCATTAAAAATATTTAATTTTTCAGGGGCACCTGTTCAGTTCAGCATCCTACTCTTGATTTCAGCTCAGGTCATGATCCCAGGGTTGTGAGACCATGTCCCTCATCAGATTCCATGCTAAGCATAAAGCCTGCTTAAGATTCTCTTTCTCTGTACCCCCTCCCAGCTCATACTCTATCTTAAAAAAAAAAAATTATTCAATTTACAGTTATCTTCCTGAACTAAAAAGCTTCAAGAAATTTAAGACATTATGCATATGTGAAAAAAATATTACTTCAATTTTTTAAATATAATTCAAAGTAAAAAATTTGAATTAAACTTAATCTCAAAATTATTTTGCTAGTCCACTACTGTGGCATAATTGTATCCTATGAATGAGGCTGTTTTATTATATATATATATGTAATATGTATCTGTTATATATATATATGTATGTATATATATGTATGTATGTATGTATGTATGTATGTATAGTATGGAATAAAAAAATAGCCAGTGCTCAGAGGGCTGGAAGAGACACAGTATTTTAAAGGACAATTGGGTTTCTTAAAACAAAACAGCAAAGAGAACATATGAAGAAGTTAGAGATAGAGGGGAATTTGCTGATCTGAATTTCAGAGAGCATGGTATGATGGGATTTTAGACCGTAAGAAAGAAAATCAGATTAGGAGTTACACTAATCATTATGATAATATGCTCCTTCAGATGAGAATGAACTTCTGATGGTGAATAAGGTAAATAGATATGTGATACATATTGGGTTGAATCTCAGAGGAAGGTGAATAATTAGTTATTATAAATAGTATCTTGCTGAAAGATGCATGGAACCTTTCATCCCTGAAGTTAAATATGCTGTGTGCTCCCACAGGATGAATGAGGCCGTCTTGAGAGGTACCTCTATAGGTATACATAGATAAGGACTGCAATTCAAAACAATAATATAAAAATATGTACAGAGTATATATGCCAGGCTCTGTACTAAGTACTTTATATCTGCATAACAATCCTATGAAGTAGATATGATTATAAATCTTGTACTTAAAATGAATAATCTTAGGCACGAAAAGTCAAGTAACTTGTACAAGGTTACACAGCTATAACATAGAGGAACTAGGATTCAAATCCAAGTATCCTAGCATCTGATCTCCCACTGTACTTCATGAAATCAATTAATCCAGACTCCTGTGGATTTTTGTTATTATTCCTCAGTGTCAGCTCCAAAAATGGTATTTAAGTCTCTTTTCTATTTCTCAGTTCAAGAGAGAGAAATGTGAGTAAGCCGGAGTTCAAAAGAAAGGAATATATAAGGCAGCTAAAGAAGGTTCAACCAAAACTTGTGTCTCCTAAGTTCCCTTAAGAGTTTCAATCTTCACACAGGCTGAAAAGAAAGAGTAAATGGCCTCTCTGCTCCTCACATGTCTTCTGGGCCTCCATCATAGCCCCAAAACACAGTATCCTCACACAGTCCATGACCTAATCACACCACAGGTGGCAGAGAGGATTTGATAATCCCTGGGGAGGGCAGTGTGAGAGCTTCTCTCTGAAGCTTCTCTTCAAAGCACATTAACTCTGATGCCTTTAAGCAAATGGCCTCAGGAATTTATCTGTGTGTCCATTTAGCATAGTTTACTAGGGAATTGAGCACATTCCTGATTACTTCTCTGCCATGAACCCTTGGTATTTGGGGAACTTCTCCCTGTCTGCCCTTTCCTAGGGAGGCCCTAACTTTAAAATGTCAGCTCTTTTGCTTCCCCATTATCCTAGACTTTATCAACTGAGGCTGAAAGACCTAGGAATACAGGACTATAGTTTATGGATTTAGACTAACTGAATCATTGAATGTTGAGCTCAACAGAGTATTGTTAAACCCTGTCCTTTTAGAGATTAGTTAAATAAGGTCCCCAAAAGATGATGTAAATGATCAAAGATCAAACTTCACACAGCAATTTAACCTCCAACATAAGGCAAATAAGACAAATGGTCATACTTCTTTCACTGAATATAGTGGGGTTCATTCAATAGTAATTTATATTTCTGTACTGTCATAATTTTTATTAAAAGTTCCACAAACCTTCCCTATTATTTAGATCATTTTATAAGAGGAACCCTCCAGAGATTAATAAAAGAACAGAAAAAAAAGGAGAGTCAATATGTAGGAAAGTAGTTAATTTGCATTGTGAAGGAATATTCCAAAAGGAACAGAAAGAGAAAACCATGTGGGGTACAGAGAAAAGTGCACTGAACCAAACTCAGAAAAATTGGAGGCTAAAACTGCATATAACTTTTATTTTAAAAAATACTTTAATGTTTATTTATTTTTGAGAGAGAGACACACACAGAACACGAGTGGGGGAGGGGCAGAGAGAGAGAGAGAGAGAGAGAGAGAGAAAGACACAGAATCTGAAGCAGGCTGCAGGCTCCAAGCTGTCAGCACAGAGTCCAATGTGGGGCTTGAACCCACAAACCGTGAGATTATGACCTGACCCGAAGTTAGATCACTGAGCCACCCAAGCACCCCCATAAAACTGCATATAATTTTTAGCACACTCAAGCACAGAACTTCTCTTCTCTCAGTCTCAGGTTTTTTTAATAAAATTAGAAACTTTTTTTTTAGAGTGAGAGAGCACACACAAGCATGGTCAGAAGGGGGTGGGAAGGATAGAGAGAGAGAGAGAGAGAGAGAGAGAGAGAGAATCATAGTAGGCCCCATCCTCAGCACAGAGCCAGATGGGATCTCCAGGCTGATTCTCATGACACTGAGATCATGCCCTGAGCTGAAATCAAGTGTCAGATGCTTAACTGGCTGAGCCACCCAGGTGCCCCAAATTGGAACCTTTCTAACATTGCCTTGCTTTGGTTCTTGAAGCTATTACATAATGGAGAGGAGATTTTCCAAACTGAGAAAAGAAAGGAAGAGGGAGAAATGGAAAACAGAGAAAAGAAAAGGTGCTGAATGAAATCAGAATATTTAAAATATAGTAACCCTGGATCCTCTCCTGGCCACTTTTACTCCTGGATAGTGTCCAAGGGGGAAGAAGGTTCAAGACCTGCAAGGGTGGTAATCCATGTGCCTATGGGGGAATGGAGGGTCTAAAGTATCCTGAGGGCACAATTTCTGGAAAGACTCCCGGGAAATGGGTGGATTATTTAAACCATTAACTCTAAACTGATTTGAATATTTGTAATTAGTCTTAGCTTTGGTGCAAGGATCCATGAGTAAGTTTTTCTTCTCCTTTCAAAATCTGATATTGTAGGGCTCTGATCTGTTCCCTGCTATGTCAGAGTGGCCAAGCTTGAAGCTCATCATTCTCTGCCTTCTCCTTCATTTGTTATCTTACCTACATTATGCTTACCTGTCTCCTCTTCTTGTCTTAAAGAAAATTCCTCCTCTTATGTCTGGTTATTGGACCTCCTCTCCCAGTTTCACCTTCTCTTCAACAGTCACAGCTTCTCTTTTCTATATCTTTGTATTCTCCTCTTCCATTAACTCCCCTCTCCTTAACGTATAGAGCAGGTTTGGTTTTCTTCCATCCCAAACAGACCCTCCCTTGACTCTGTGTCCCTCTCTAACTACAAGCCCCCCAGCCCCACAAAGAAGAAAATTATGCTCTTTACTTTGGCTGTGGGCTTTGGAATAAGTTACTGTTCATCTCTATTATTGAAAACATGCGTTATTTCTCCATGAATTGGGAGTGGTATAATAAGACTTTTCAAAACCCCTTTAAAAATAAGTTTGCTTATTTATTAATGTATTATAAATAAACAGAGAGGCTGTTACATAATGCAGGCTCTGGAGCCAGGCTGCCTGGAGTTGCATTCCAGCTCCTTATTTACTGGCTCTTTGAGCACAGGCAAGTTATTTAACCTGTCATTAAGCTTTTAAAACAGTTATATAACTAATTTCAACAACCAACTGAAAAACAAACAACAGAAGAGAGATGTGAGTAAAAATATAAGACACGAATGGAGAAGAAAAATTAAGGCTTAAATCAGTCTCCTGGAACTGATTTCCATTTATTGCCAAACCAAGATGAACATATTTTCTAAACAAAGGAATAATGAGAGGAATAAGGTGCAGAAAAGTAAGGCAATCAGAGAAAATCTCTCTTACACCCTCCCCCCACACACACAAATTCAGAAACAAGAAACAATCCTGGTTGGACAGATTTTCTTCTTCTAAGCTATGTGCTTCTGAAAGAAGTTTTCATATTGAATATTTACTTTTGGTCATACTTACAACTAGTAAAATTGCTTCTTGTTCAAAGATGATAATTTCATAATTTTCTCTAAAACGTATCACAACTTCCAGGTGCGTCACAACCTCAACAGGTTTGTGCATCACAGGTTTGACTTCAATGTGACCCAACAGTGGTGCCTGGGTGGCTCAGTCAGTTGAGCATATGACTCCGGCTCAGGTCATGATCTCACGGTTTGTGGGTTTGAGTCCCGCATCGGGCTCTGTGCTGACAGCTCAGAGCCTGGAGCCTGTTTCAGATTCTGTGTCTCCCTCTCTCTCTGCCTCTCTCCCACTGGTTCTCTGTCTCTCTCTGTCTTAAAAATAAATAAAACAAAAGAAGAATTTTTAAAAATAAAAATAAATGTGACCCAACCAATACCTGTGATTAAATTAAAGAAAGCAAGGGGATTCATTTGGTCTATCTCAACTCAGCCACAGCCTGTGGTGAGGCAGATCTCACACTGCACTGTTGTGGAAGTATGTAGGATGCACACTTAAATCCCTTCCTTTTTAAAGGAAAGCCTCCAAATTGGCAATCCACTAGCCCAATGTCACCTGCACATTGGTTGACCAGCAAAGATTTATTGTAAATTTTGCATATGAATGCTTCTAGATGGGGTATGCAGTTTTCAAACTCCCAACTTCCTTACTACCCTGAATAGATGACAGATTCACAATCTCAAGCCTCAGGAGACTTGCTGAGGCAACTGAGCATGTGACCCCCCCCACACAAGGACAACCAGTATTTCTATTTAGTATGGAAATTTTGATATTCTCTATGAGAACTAATTCTGATATTTTCATTAGGAAGACTATCCATAGAAGTGAGGTCTTTAATCTAAAATTACATAATACTTAGTATTTTGGCAGGATATTCAAATCTTATAATTAAGTTTTTTATCTACTTCTTCACTCTGAAAATAAGCAAAACCTTTCACTCTTGTGCTTATTTGCTGTCAACCAGGCAAGGCCACAAATTCTCAGTTCAAAATTTTTTGAAAATATATGATATACATTCCACCTCTGCTTATGCCTTTGCCTGTGGCAGGTATCAGTAGGTGATCGCAGTTCTCTTTACTGTTCAGCCCACATACAATCTAAAATTCTTCTCATCTCCAGAGTGCTGCTACTAATTGATCAGATTTAGTACCTTAACTAAAATATATTTTCCATTTGTGATATGGGTTAATATTCTTAAATATTAAATATATGGGGGCTGTCTTTTGTAAATTATCTTTATTTGGTAGTGGGAATGAAGGTATGTTACCTTGGTCTATAATACAAAAAAGGTGATATTTCTTCCCAAGTGCTGAGATCTCATCATTTCTATGAAAAGCTACCATTTCCTCCCAAACACAACAACAAACAAAATTGAGTCATAAATACACAAGTAAAAACTATAATTATTTCAAGAGAAATCAATTATATATTTTTCAACTCACTAAAAGCTTTCTTGTTACGTATAATTTTTTAAAATAATACTTCCGCATTTAAAGGATGGTCAACAAAGAGAAATAAAAGTACATAAAAAAAAGATTTGAATAGGTAAAAGAAGAAAGAGTGGGAAGGAAAACAATAGAAAGGTAGAATTTCAGTGAAGATGTCCAGAACAGGAAAATGGAAGACCAAAGTAGGTTCTAAAAGTCCAAATCATAGATTTACACATACAGAAAACCTTCAAAATCACATGGGAAAATTAGCTCATCTCATAAATAAACTTGTTTCAGTAAAGAGGCTTTTAACATCTTCAAGTAAGACTGGTTACTCGCAAGGCAGAAGCTACGGTTCTTGACTGCTCCCAAATCTCACTGCAATGTCAGCAGATGTGACTAAGGTACTGAGGTAACTAAGGAATATAAAAGTATATTTTTTAAGAGTTGAACCCAACAGATTAACAAGCAAAAAAAAAAACAAAAACAAAAAACAAAAACCAACACAATGAAATACTCATGAAAATGTACTGTCACCAGCATTCAGAACTTTCCAAATGATGGTAAGGAATAAGAGGGAAAAATAAAGAAAGTAAAAAGAAAGTAAACTGAAGCTGAATGCCTTAAACACAGTGAAAACTTTCTATTTTGCCAAAGGGTTTCATTCCTTTGTAGTCACCGAATACTTCTTTCATAACAATTTTGACAGAACTTTTCAGCTTTCCTAACCATTATGACTCTTGATTTTTCACTGCAGCCATTCGATATAAGAAAGGAGATATCATTTTCATTTTAAAGTTTAGAAAAGTAATGTTCCAAAGGTTTAGAGACTTACCTAGTCATAGAACCAAAGAGTAGTAAAGCTGGGACTCTCTAGTCTTGGATTTTAACCTCAAGACTATTTGTACCTCACATGTGGGGAGGAGGGAATAGGACCGTCTACATTTCATGTTCTCTAAAAGTCTAAACCTATATAAGATTATATTTGTAATATTTTTTTGCTTAAACAACAAACATTTATCTCTCATAGTTCTTCTCAATTTTCATTATAGGTAATACAAAAGCCTTCAAAGCAACTCCAGAACCTTTATGTAAGTTTTTCCTATTTCTCAGCTTAGTTCTTTTATCTTCTTCTACAAAGTGTCTACTACTGAGGAAGCTGGGGTGGAGGTTGAGGAGGCACAAAAAAAGGAAGAGGAAAGGAGAACAACAACTTACTATTTAACTGTTCTCCTTTGCCTTTACCAGCATGAGTAACTTGAGGCTGATTTCAGGATCTCTCTAAGTAACTGATGATTTTCTTATTTAGCAAAGTAAAAACTCTAATAAAATTGATTAATAAGTGAAAGGGAAAATCCTGTGATTAAATGTAGTTGTGTATCAAAAACAAATAGATACTTCTTGAAGGATCTGACAATAGAAAGATAGCAAAAATTGAAAACAAGAAAAATAATTACAGGAAATATGATCTTTTGGGTCACCTGAGGGGAAAAAAGGGGGAAAATACAGACTGACCTTCTTACTGCTTTCCATGTAAATGTAATATGTAGTAAATACTTGACCTGAAGCTCCCTGAAATGTACATTCTTCAGGCATGCCCTCTCCAGACTTATCTTTTTGTGTTTGTATTTTAGCAGGCACTGCAGGACCCATTAGTAAGTTTCTTTTCTGTGCTTTAATTCCCATGTGTTTTGCTTTACTACACTGTTATACACTGTTAGAATATGCAAGACATTCCTAGTCATGGATGTTTTTATTTCCTCCTGTACAAATTGCCAATTCTTTTGTCCTTCTTTATTTCCTATTCTTTTTTTTTTAAGTTTATTTATTTTGAGAGAGAGAGAGAAGGAAAGAGAACATCCCAAGCAGGCCCTGCACTGTCAGCAAAGAGCCCAATGAGGGGCTCAAACTCACAAACCATGAGATCATGACCTGAGCCTAAGGCAGACACTTACCTGACTGAGCCACCCAGGTATCCCAATGCTTCTTTTTCTTATTTTAACAAGCTTGGAGCGTCTGTAAGGAAGTACTATCACTTTTGGTTTTCTCAAAATCTTGAGATTAATTAGCAAAGAGAAAAGTGTTAGAAAGGCAGGAAGTCCTCTTGCTAAAAATCCCAATCACACTCAGAGGAAGAGAGCAGTGTGTCCCAGCTCACTGATTGAGGGTCCCTAGGTTGCTGTGGATGGTGGTATGGAATGTACATGCCCTGCAATTAACAAAGAATCAGTCTGGAGGAAGTGTCCAGATCGCATTTAAAGGACATTACATCAAACATCTCTGGCAGAAGCACTGGTAGAGAATAAAAAATGAGGGATGGGAAAGAAGCAGTTGATTTTGAAAAGAAAAAAATAATAAATGGACACAGTGACATATAAATGCTCTTAGATTTTTACCAATCTGTTAATGGCCTTGCTGATTAAAATGGATCCAAGGATCTGCATCAGCATCACTTTGGAGTTTGTTAGAAATGCAGAATTTCCACATAATGCCTACTAAATCAGAATCTGCATTATTCACAAGATCCCCAGGTGGTTTAGAACCACTACTTTGCAGGGGTTTCAATCCTCTGTAGGTAGAAAAGAAATAAGAAGTTGAGTGTTCTTGAGCTAAGTATAACTAGCTCCTCCATCCCTTCAGATTCTCCACAGGAAGAGTAGCCTTAAAGCCAGTGACAAGAAAAATGAAACTTACCAAGGCTTCATTCATTTCTTAACATACTTCTGTCCATCGCTGCTAAGGATGTTCAGACCTTGAGCTCCTGGGGCAGGACCAACCCTAAAGGAGAAGAAGAATGATTTGTGGGTTAGGGCTCATGGCAAATCACACTCTGTGTCTACTCCTCCTGGAGCATTTGTACACATGAAACATGATTTAAAAAAATCAAAAGTCAATCAAGAGTAAACACTGTCAAGAGTAAACACTGAGGAAGTGTCACTAAACTATATGTAGCCCAAGAGATACAGAGAGGTGTCTGTGCATATGTGTTTGTAAAGGAGAAGGCTATTATTGCTAAGCATGTGGGTCTAGTGCCTCAATCCCTTTATCCACTAACTTCACCTACAAAAGTCTGAAGCCTGCCCAAGAGTTTCTATTCTCTCTTATGCTAAGATATTGTAGGCCAAGTTACTCTGATGATTAAGGTCACCCACAAGAGAGAGAAATTCCCACTTTCTCCTTCAGAAGATGAGGCTATAGATTTTGTTCAAATGAGACCAGTTGGAAGAATGGCAATTGTCTGTGGAATCTACTTAGTTACAGTGACCCATCAAGACAGGAACCTTGACCCCTGGATCCCTGCAGCTCCAACTGTCGGATCCCAGTAATTACGAGGGTGGGAATGAAGAATGACATTTATGTGCTCCTCTGATGAAGTAGAAATATTTTTCCTTGTGTCTGTTATTTATGATGTTTTCCCCAAAATAATTTCAACTCACACTTAATTTTCTGTGCCAAATAACCATTCTAATTAATCTGTCTTGCTTTTCTCATATTTTAGCTGGAGCCATTGGACCCATAAGTGAGTTCCTTTTCTGTTTTCTAATTCTGACACTCTTTGGTCTTCTGTGGTATATGGGACTTCTCCTCACCCAAGCTCTTTCCATTTCTAGGCCTTCCCATCCACACTTCTTGATTATATTTGATTTACTGACACCTCTAATGCCCAGACCATCAGGGAAAAAAACAAAACAAAATGAAACAAAACAGCCTGAACTGATACTAAGTTTAAGACAAGGGAAAGCTAAATCATTCATATTTAAAATAATGGCCAAGAAAAAAATTCTCTCAACTATGATAAAAATGGTTAAAACAATTACTGTGGACTCTTCCTAAACTGAGGGTAATGCTACAAGAAGAGCAGGTAATTCTAGAAGACAAAAGAATAAGCATGATAAAGACCAAAGAGGAGGGTGGTGAAAAATGGCCAAAAGACATTGTACCTACCCCTAGGAGTGTCAATCCTTTGAGATAACCAAGTGTTGGGAAGGGCAAAGAAAAGAGGAGGGATGAGAGTGAAGAAAGATTTACAACATTCAGCCCAGGTTCTATACATCCCCCTTTGCCATTTAAGATGAACACTGACTTGATCTGGTGGGAGGGCTATGGGACTCCTTTGCTAAAATTATCTACTGATCTGTAGTAATAATTCTCCCTCTGGTTGAGTTGCTTCACAGGTTCTTTAAAAAGAATATTGGTGGCATGATCATTCTAATAATATCAAACCACACTGATTTTCTTCTTTTTTGTATTTCAGTGCAATTCACAGCACCAATTCGTAAGTATCAAATTTGTTTCTCCACTCTGGTTTCTTTAATTTCTTACCTACAAGGTCTTAAGTATTGACCTACCCTGTTTCCTTAATACCATGTTTCTCAACTTCCCTAGCATTCCTATTACACAAATTTCAAAGAAGCTGTGCATGAAGTAGATAAACTGCAAAGCCCATGGGCTAACATAAGAAAATAGAAAAGAAAAGGACCCTCTTAATAGCAGTCATAATGCCCTGTCAGCAAGGGAACGTTCACTTTTCAAATAACAGTAAGTCCCTAATGAAACGAGGAGGAAAGAGAGAGAAAAATTTTTTTAAAGAGGACATTATAAATTAGTAATGGAATGAGTCTATCCCAATCCTCTAAAAGTTTCAAACATCACTGAAAACAAGGTGGGGGAGGGGGACTCTATTCCTCTAAGTCCCCCATATTGTACAATAGGGAGCCTATCCGAGGATTGTCATGCAAGCAATCGCTTGATGTTCCTAGGATTTCTACTTATGACACTCCCTCTAGAGTAAGTGTTGGAGAATGGTTATTTCCTTCACAGTGATGAAGCATACTGATTTTCTCCCTCTCTGTTTCTCAGCTGGCGGTACAGGACCTATCAGTAAGTTTACTGTCTGATTAGTCACTGTAGAGAAATTTTAATTTCCTGCAGTATCTTAGGGGCTTTTCCTTGAATCCCATGTTGGGATTTTGGGAGTTTGTGGGTTCCCATTTTCTTGGCCTTTTTTGCTTTCTTCTATCTAGCACTTCAATAAGTCATTAATAATCATGTGAATGCACATTCCACTGCTAAACACAAAGTGTAAAGTGGAGGATGAACCCTTAAAGGTTTCCAATGGCTTATCAACATCATACAAGGGATATATTTAAAAACAAAGTGAAATGAAAAGAAGTGAAATAAAAAGGGAGTAAGAAAATTAAGTTTAAGTGGAGAAGGATTTTTTCAATCACCTACAGGGGTTTAAATGGGCCAAAGGGGTGTCCTCCATTTAGTACCTTTGCTACGTACCGTCTCAGTGGATCCATTAAATAAAGAGGCCCTTATATATATATATATATATATTAAGTTGTCTTATCATCTTAGCAAAAAACACCTCAACTTCCCTACTACCGCACTGCATCTGAGCCCAAATTTAGTGGTACAGATTCTTACCAGGAAAAGCATGTAAATGAGAACTATGGCCTTCAAAGCCTGAGAGTACCTACTGATTTCTTTTCTTTTCTTTTTTTTTTTTCCTTAGAGCTCTCTCAAAAAACCATTGGTAAGTCACCTAAATCTCAATTACAATGCCTTTTGGTCCTTTAGAATGCTTAGAATTGCAAGTCAATTTCTATTTCAAGGATTCCTGTTCACAAACTCCAGGATCAAGTGTTTCCATTGCCTCATTATCCCACTCAGAATTCTTAGAGGTTAGATTCAGCGAGGTTCTTCAATAAAAAGATATTAACTCTGACGCTGAAATATAAAGTGAAAAAATAACCCCTTAGGAGTAGTCTTTTCCAAGTTATATAATCTGGTTCTTTAGAACCAACATGTAATAAAAATTTAGAACACAGCACGTAAACTTCTTGTTACTAGATTATGTTCAAAATAACGCAAATCTTAAGCTTCTTTCTATCTCTAACTGCTCTGAAAAGCTCTCTTCAAGACAGATAGCTTTATTTTCACCAATTTTTAGCAACTTGACTTATTGCATTTTTCCATAAACATTATAAATAACAGGTTCTAAGATACAGTCGCCCATAATTACATATTTATACACTAAGAGCAAATAGTTATAACTACACACACAGAATTACAATATTCTTTTTTTTTTAATTTTTTTAATGTTTTATTTATTTCTAGGAGAGAGAGAGAGACAGCGTGAACAGGGGAGGGTCAGAGAGAGAGGGAGTCACAGACTGAAACACGCTCCAGGCTCTGAGCTGGCAGTCAGCACAGAGCCCGACGCGGGGCTCGAACCCACGAACCGCGAGATCATGACCTAAGCGAAAGTCGGACGCTTAACCGACTAAGCCACCCAGGCGCCCCTGAATTACAATATTCCTAAGAAAAATTAGGAATTTTTGAAATTAGAAAACTAAAGAAATATGACTTGAGGTTCCCCATAGTCACCTGACAGAATGAATAGAAGTCCTGTATAGGTACCTGGTCATTCTTAGTGTGATTCCTTCAGGAATTTGTGAGTCATCCTTGTGCAGGTGCTGTGCTAATCTTCTCTGTATCACTCCAATTTTAGTATATGTGCTGCTGAAGCAAGCCCTCTGTGTGATCCTTTAATGGCTTACAGTTTTTCTAACCCTCACATGCATTATTTTGTTGGGCCTACCAACACTTCAATGGTGGCGGGTAAAGCAGATAGAGATGGAAAAATTGTTTCCCATAAAAATTTGTTTAATCTCAAAACAATAAGGGGAGGAGGACAATTAATAATGAAGTTAGGACTGAAGTTGTGCTCTTAGTTGAGTTCTTTCCACTACCATTTTGACGGTTCTAATAGGTTATTAGCAAGGGAAACAATAAAATTCTAATATTAGAAATCAGAGACACAAAGGCCTATGGAGAGAGGAAGTCAGAGAAAATGCAACACAAAGAGTAACACACAGAGAATGAAGATGTTAAAAAGAGAAAAATTAAAAGAAATTTGAAAAGAACAAAAGTAGGAAGAAAACCGGAAAAAGAAAGATTAAGTGAGTTGGAGACAGGAGAAGAAAAAAAAGAGTAAATGAAAATAAACAAAACTGAGAAAGAGAAGAAAAGGAAAGCTACAATTAGTCACAAACTAAAAGTTAAAAAAGAGTAAGAAAATACAGGAAAACTGAAGAAATAAAATAAAATTTGAAATGAAAATGAAAAGATTTTAGTGGCTTATACCAAAGGTAGGTGTCCTAGGAATTTTATTCTAGGATCAAGGGCAATTTTTTTTAACAGATATAGTCAAAGCAAACATTAAATTATTTTTGCAAAATAACCTAAATTTCTAGCTTGTCTATAGCTCATGGCCCAGGATATCCATAGCTGGTAAGACACTTTCTAGCTTTTTCACATAGAAAAAAATATCAAAATTAATGGTTGAGGGGATTATGAGTCAGAACTGAGATATTTCCCATCATGAGTGCCATGAAGGTCTGGAGGAGAAAGATAATGCAATGCCCGCTGGGAGGAGGGGTGGTCTTTCTAGATTCAATTAACCATGCAGACATACAAGATGATCCCAGTCCTCAACTGACACCAGGCTACTCAGCAGAACTTAAGGTAGGAACCACAGCTTGCATCATCAGCTATCTCTCTTTTGTGGTAGTAGTTGTCTCGAAGTTGTCTATGCAGGTGTCTACAGAGCCACACAGGAACTATCCTCTTTGGCTGTCCATAAGCTGCGTATAGGAGCTGCCCTGACTTAGAAGCCCCAGGAGCCAAAATATCCTGTAAAAACTCCATATACACAACCTGCAGGGATCCTATAAGGAACATGCCAAAATACATGGTCACTACGCTCAGGGAAGCCCAGAGATAGGGCCTTCTAACAGGTATTTATAGTTCTCCCAGTTCACATGCAGTTTACCAATCAAGGATCATTCTTAAGTAAAAGGGATGTTGCAAGTAAGACAAAAGGCTTAATCAGAAAATCAATTGAAGGCCAAATTCTCATTAAAAACTGAAGGTTTTGTTGACCTTTTATTTGCCCAGAGATACTCAAGCTAATCAAAGCAATATAGTCAATAAGCTGGAAGCTATGAGACTACACATCCTTATCTTCCACCTTCACACCTACCCTAGAGCATATTAGTTGGTCAGAAATATTTTAGTACAAGTATGGGCCAATCCACTTAAAAAGCAGTATCTTCTGTTACTGACAAGAAAGAAAAGGTTTCAACCTTTAATGTCTTGAACCTCTCCTAGGTTGACAAGGATTCTAGAGAGACCTTCATCTCAAGCTGAAATATTGCAATATAGGCTAACTATCTCTTTCGTTGTATAGTTATCATAACTGGTTTAGTTTTCCCTAATGTTCTAATTCTGTTATCACTTCTCCCTTATTCTATCTCCCAAAGCCTCACCTCTAGAATAAAATTAGCGAAATAAGTCAGGCAGAGAAGGACAAATATCATATGTTTGCACGTATAGGAGGATTAGGAGGAACTTAACTGAGGACCATGGGGGAGAAGAAGGTGGGAAATGGGGGGGTAGGAGGGAGAGAGGCAAACCATGAGAGACTCTTGAATGCTGAGAAACAAACTGAGGACTGATGGATGTGGGGGGCAGGAGGTAGATGGGCATGGAGGAGGGCACTTGTGGGGATGAGCACTGGGTGTTATATGGAAACCAACTTGACAATAAACTATTTGTAAGAAAAAAACTAAAAATAAAAAATGAAAAAAATAGTTTGAAACTTACCTTAAAGCTTGCATACACTCACGATTGCCAAAGCATTTCCATCTTTGTGTAAAAAAAGATGTAATAATGCATATAAATTATTAAAAAAATTTATTCTTCAAACACCCATCTTAATATGTCAACTTGGACTTCTTTTTAGTGCAAACTCCAGGACCTATTGGTAAGTTGCTTATATACATAACAACTCATATATATCACTCAAATTCATAATAGCATAACATTTTTCTAATAATGATTAGAGTAGCTCATCTATAATCATCAGAAGAATATTCCAAAGCAAAGGTGCAACAGAGATAATCTGGGGGAGGACATAAGAAATGAGAAAGAAGACAAAAAAAATGACATGAGAGGAAAAAGATGGGGAAAAGCAGAGGGAAAGGTATACAATAAGATTTTACTTCACACACCTGTAGTAGTCAAGGCAAGAATGAAGTGGTTTTCCTTCCAGCTAAAACAGGGTTACTAGTATCCTAGAAGAAGATCTGATTTTTATGGAAAGGATATAGTCCAATAAAAAACATTTAACCCTGAAGATGGGAATTTGGTAATTCTGGGACATTATTTAACAGTTCCCGTTTGGAAAAAATTAATGGCATGTGTGTTTATCATGTTCAACAACCATAGTCATTTATGTTTGTTTCTATTTTTAGTGCAATATACTGGGCCCAATGGTGAGTCCCTTATCTATCTTTTTCCTCTGGTATTCTCTGATCTTCTACAGTGTATAGAGGGCTTGTCTCCAGTCCCAAATGTATCTATTACCATAAGGATAGTTTTTTAGACATGTTTTCATGCATCCCAGTTTCCACTTACTGAGAATTCTCCAGGATTATTTTTTAAAGAACAAAGTAAGAACGTTTCCCCAGTAATGGTCATAATGGCTTCTATGATAATACAGAATTTTGTAAAGTAAGAGAAATAAGGTTAGCTTTCCATTTCTGAAGTGCTTTGTAGTTCATAAAGGGCCTACTCAAAGACAACAGAGACAATATAAAGAAAATGAAAAAAAGGAAAACAAATTTCAAAAATAAATGTAAAAGAAGGATAAAACAATCAAATTTAAATAGACTGAGGTCTGATCAGTTTTCTTACCAATTTCCTGGGAAAGGTGTACCAGGGAATACTACTAAGGATCTAACCTACCCTGAGTTCTCCAATCTTCTCTTTCAATGCGTTTTTCCTCATGTCCTATCCTATCCACTTGCCCCAAATACCCAACACACGCGTGCGTACACACACACACACACACACACACAGCTTCAGGGAACAGGATATGACAGGAGGTGGGCTGCAGTTATAGGAACTGGCAGATGCATAAACCATAAGTGAAAGACAATAAAAGGTAAACTCATACTGTGACTAGCTAGGGCAAAAGGAGTGTCAAATTCTAGAATGTCAAAACAAATTGGGTCATTGGGATTTCTGAGTCTGGAAATTAAGTGATAGCATTCCAGAGTGTAAGCTAAACAAGAGGACATTATCAGAAGGCAAGTCAGATGTACTCAAGCATTCTTTCAAGTAGGTGAGCTCTTGTATCAGAAAATGAGCTGAGGCCTGGAGAGGAAGTCATGAATAAAAGAAAGATTTGGTTGATCTCTTGTGCCATGGAAGTTACAGTCCTATAAGTAATCTTGAGGAAAGAAACTCAAAACATGGAGAGGGCAGGCAGTCTCCCACACAATCATACTATGACCACTAAAACTGGATGCTGTCTGTTCTAAACACTGGTTCTAAATACCTTCCTGTTATAAATGAACATAAGCCATCATTTATCAACTATTCTAAATCAGGGCCTCCTTCCTCAGTACTCTTAATTATCACCAAGACTTACAGCCTTAGATGTTTTCCTAATTCTTATAAGGGAGAAACCATAAGCCAGCTCACCTCACTGAGGCTAAAGGAAGGGTCTCATCTGGCCTAAAGTCCCCAAATAACTACCATGTGCCCAAAAATCTATATGGGTACATGGATTCCCTTTCCCTTTTCTTTCCTGCATAATTCCCTCTCCCCTACGTGTAAACTCTTAAAACATACAGTAATAGATAAATGAAAATTATACTGCTACATTTATTCATTCTTAGCTTTCCCTTAAATTACAGACCATTTGGAGAAAATGAAAAATGCACAGATTACTTTTTTAATTAACAAAAATGAGCGCGTCAAATGGAAGTAGGAAAAAAGAAAGGAGTGAGAAGAAAATGTCAGATCAACTAAACAGTTAGGTAGGAAAAATAGATAAATGAAAATGACAAAAGTGCATAGAAGTACAAGTTTAAGACATTATAAACCCCTAGAAATTTCAAGCATTTACCACCCTAGAAAGAAATGGAATGGAAAGAACACAGCCACTCTCTTGCTCCAGACCAGCAGAAGCAAGCCTCAGGATGCAAAACAGAGGTAGGAGCTTAAGTCCAGACATCACAATGAGCTAACAGGCAGGTTTTAGAGCAGCTCCCTGCATTCTCTCTACAGTTACCGTTTTTAAGCCCATCATAGGAGATTTGAGTTCACTTAGTTCTACACTGATTTCTCTCTTTTCTTTCCCTTCCATTTTTCCAGCAGGTGAAACTTCAGAAATAACCAGTAAGTTCCATACCTGCTCCTATATATTAGTTGTCTTTGGCTTCTAATATAGGGTCTGCAATCCTTTGCTTCTGTCTTGTGGGAACAGACTTTCATGTTTCTCCATCACGTGCTTATTTCACTACCTAGCTGCAACCCTAACCAAGGAATGAACAAATTAAGGGGAATACAAACCCCCCTCAATAACCCAAAATATTATGAATAATATAAATGTGTAGACATAAAAATATCAGAGGAAACTATCTGAAGTTTATTGTGACTTGTCAACAAGGGAGGGAGGACATTTGTATGAAGTACGAATGTGTGAAAGCTTACACAGGAGAGCAGAAATAGGGAGAAGGAAAGTAAAAGCAGCACAGTTTAAATTACCAATCCCCTGTAGGATTTTAAGCAGCTACCAGTCACTGCAAAAGGGAAGAGATAAGTCATCTCCCTTTCCTGAAGCCTCTCAGACGAAGCAGGAGGCAGAATCCCACCAGGCATGATGGGAGCTGTGTTCCTCCAGCACTGTGCACCGGAATACCTATAGGGTTTGATACTCCCTCCGTGGGCATTTGATATTCCCTCTCAGAAAGCTAGCAAGGGAGCGAAATAAGTCAGGCAGAGAAGGACAAATACCATATGTTTGCACGTATAGAAGGATTAGGAGGAACTTGATGGAGTAACAAGGGGGAGAAGAAGGGGGGAAATGGTGGGGGAAAGGGAGAGAAGCAAACCATGAGAGACTTTTGAATGATGACAAAAACTGAGGACTGATGGATGTGGGGGGGAGGGGGGATGGGCATGGAGGAGGGCACTTGTGGGGATGAGCACTGAGTGTTATGTGGAAACTAATTTGACAATAAACTATTAGAAAAAAAAAAAGAAAGCTAGCAAGAAAACTAATTTCAGCATTCTTTCCTCACTTAATTTTCTCTTTGTTTTTCAGCTACAGGATCGTCTTGTAAGTCTCCTTTCATGATGGATCTCAATTACCTCCAGCAGTGTCTAACAGATCTACATGAACGAAAATGTATTCATCCACACTGGGATCATAAGAGTTTAAAGCTCCTATTTCTTTGACCCCTATTTTTCCATTACTCAGAATTCCACTAGGTTATTAACAGGTTTCTAAAATGTTCACTGAGTCACATGTTTCTCTAGGGCTCTAAAGACTGTCAGGGACCCTCTATACAGAAGTAGAAAAAATGAACAGGAAAAACAAAGTTACAAATAATATTTCTGTTTACCAGCTGGGTCACCTATTCAAGCAATTAGTAAGTTGTGTATCTGTTTCTTTGCTGTGCACTCATCAAAGTCCAGTGATATATATTGAAGCTTCAGTTCCAGTATAGGAACTTTACAGTATAGGAACTTCAAACTCTTATTTTCTTAGCTTTTGCTTCTCCATTAGCCAGAATTCCACCAGCTGATTTTAAGTTTCTGGAAAGTTCAGATACCTCTGATCAGAAAATCTTTTCAAGCAGTTATATCACTAGAAAATTTACCAATAGAAAAAAATGAATAGGACAGTAAATGAGGAGGGTGCAGTAAGAAATATTTCTGCTTATTTTGCAGTGGAACCAACTCCTCACACAAATAGTAAGTCTTATGTATTCATTTAATTATCTGTCACAGGACTCGATTGGTTTCTAGTGAGGTCCAATATCTGGACATGTTGATATGCAAAGGGCCTGAGGTAACTCTTGCTGTCTCATTATCAAAGTCCCTCTGGGTTATTAATGATGTACTAGAAAGTTCTAACACTACTGATTTATATAAATATAAAGAAGAAAGTAAAAAGTTTTGCTTCGCTATAAAGACCAACAAGTTGCAATCTACAGAAAAGGAAAAAATGAAGGAAGAGAAATCGTTTTTCATTTGGATCTATTTCCCCACCCAGTCTCTTTTTCTACGTTTGAAGTCCAAGATATCCAGGGGAAATTTCTCTGGCCATTTTGGATTTTAGAAGCTTGAAGATGCTATTTCTTTGACATCCTATATTCATATTACCAATAATTCATCTTTTTAATAACTTTATGGAAAAAATCAAGTTCTACTGATTTACATAAAAAAAAATAAAGATCAGAGGGTAACATTTCCCAGAAGTTAAAAGTGACATGTTATAAGGAACTTCACAAATCGAAAAACTGAATGAGGAAGAAAAGAAAAGGAAATAATTTTCTCTGTTCTATTTTCCAGCTGGATCAGTTCCACCTGCCCTCAGTAAGTCTTTCCATGTTTTCTCCACTATGGGGTCCTATAACCTCTTTCTCTGACAATTGTAGGCATTTCCGGGTATGGGTACATACTTCCTAAACTACTTGTCTTCCCATGGCCAAATTCCATGATTGTTAATGCTTTTTGGAAAGTTCAAATCCTGCTGATTTATATTAAAAGTAAATGACGACCAAAGAGTATATTGTCCCTATTGTTAAAATGACCTAGTGAGCAAGAACTCTCTTACAGAGAGGAAAAAAAATCATGGGAAAGAAAAGGCTTATAAAGATACTTCTCTGTCTTTCAGCTGGTCCACCACCTTCAGTGCGCAGCGGTAAGTTCAGTCTGTTCTTTTACTGTTTTCTGTTGTTGTTCTTTATGAGCCCTATGGACCTGGAACTGCCCTACTCATTTCTAATTCCTGTGCAGCCACCTAAGATGCATAGCTCTCACCTTCCTGTGCTTTCTGCTCATCCTGTGAAGTAAACTTACATTTACTTAATTTCAAGCATATGTTTACTTTGCATCTCCTCAGTGATAAGAAGTTCATAGGTGATTTAACTATTACATGATATTCTATTTAATCCTTGTGGTAAATCAACTGATCTCTTTGTAATGGCTACGAAACTGAACTCACATACTTGCCCAAGAACACGCTCACTGAACCATAGTTTGAACCAAGAGTTGTGTGACTACCAAACTTCACCACACAAATATGCTTCCCTAAAAAGACACTTGTTCCTTTCAAACAATTATTCACTGATATCTAATTTGGTTTTTTTGTTTTTTTGTTTGTTTGTTTGTTTGCCCTGGCACCAATAAGGATTATATCTGTTTGTCTACTATGGTTCTCTGTTTAGTCATCTTCAAAGTCTAAGGGACTTTGTTCGGTTAAAGTGATTTGAGTTTCTCATTGCTCTTGCTTCCTTATTACCCAGCTTCCCCCTATACTATAGATAATTTAAGAAAATACTGACTTGACAATAAACTATTTGTAAAAAAAAAATACTGATTAAAAGAAAAGAAGTTAAATAGAATTTGTTGACAACAACAAAAACCTGAAAAATATTAAAAACCCTGAAAAAAATTAGCAGAGGTAGGCAAAATATTTGAGAGACAGACAGGAAGTCCAAAAGGATGTTTAAATGGAGAGAGATTTTTGAGTGTTCCCTCCAAGTATGTTTTTTTCGTATGCCTACCCATGTCCTCCCCTCAGAGACACCAGTGGAGTATATTAGATAATACTATGTTTTCTCTACTTAAGAAAAATTAATGGATTTCTTTTTGCTTATTTTTTAGTGATTTCACAAAGAACCTCAAGTAAGTTCTTTACTTCTCAGCCTGTCAAATGTGAGAACTTTTCCAAGCACAGATATTATATTTTTAAACTGAACAAAGAATTGATTCATGTTTCTCATATTTTTTGCTTTCACATTACCCACAGGTCTCCCAATTAGAACTGCAAGACAATTTTTTTTCATTTATAGCTGTAGGAGTTCCCATTACTTCAGTTTTTAACTCAATTTCCCAGGAAACAGATGCCAACAGTGATTCAATATTTAAATCAGATCAAGTACTGGCAACAAGTTGATATTTAACATAGAAGCCACCGGAACACTATGTCCTAAGTTCTATTATTCAAATCTGGTCCTCATATCTATGTTAAAAGTGATTTTTACATAATACCAATATCCCTTGGGATTCCTAAGATTGAAATTAAATCACATTAATATTAAAACCTGTCAAGTTCCTGTCAAGACTAAAACTCAGATGCCAACAGAGCCCCGGCAGATAATGTAAATGAACAGGTGAAGAACGCCACCTGGGAACAGTAGAAAGATCATGTACAGTCTAAAGAGGGTAGTTGTCGCTCAGCTCCAGCCAATTTCTCCACCCAAGAACACATATCTAGAGTTGCCAAGACATCTCACTTAATCCAGATTTTAGATAAAATTTCCCAATTTTTAAAACATGATAGACATCTAGATTACTCTAACAGATAACAAACTTGCTTATATACCCCTCTACTTCCATCTAAACACATTCTGGTTGTAGTTTTACAATGATGCTTGAAAAATTTCAGTAATGTCAGGACATGAGGATTGGTATTAGAGGAGGGAAAATTGGAGCTGTTAACACAGACATTCTACACATTCTTTCTGAGTCCTAAGCAAGGAGGCTGCCAGCTAAACAGTCTCACTGAGAGATGAAAATACGGAGTCCACAGACTTAATGGTGCAGACCCAAGGATGAGGTTGGAAACCTCAAATGTCCATGTCTGAGAACAGGCCCCACAACTGGGAACACTTGAGTTCAGCAGAAGGGATTATTAGTTTTGCAGCTAGAAATTATAATCTGGCAGCTAAATTGAAATAGTTTAGTGTCTTTTGTCACAGAAAGGGTAGGAGTTAAGAGAGTTTTAAAATCCAAACCTGAGGGGTTGGGAGGAGGAAAATATGTATGACAAAGCACTAAAGGATATACCACCTTTTTTCTGGATGTCCTGGTCTTGGCTGTTATGTGTTTTTATTATTAAAAGTACACAGCAGAACTTAAACATAAAAAGAGGCCCTAGAGGGTAGAATGACTTCCAAGGGGGCAGAAACTGAATAGGAATACACTGTAAGGAGAAACTAACATTAAATTCTTGGCAAGAAAGGTGAGGGGCTGAGGGAACAGAAATAGCAGCTTCACTTCAGAAATAGAGCTAGAATTTCAACACTTGCTCTGAGATGGCAGCCAAAGTCTCAGGATCCAGCATGGTGAGAACTGGAATGGACACTCCCTGAGCAGAGCTGGGAGCAGAAAATACCTACCTGTCCAAGGAAAAGAACCAAAATATTTCCACGTCTCTACCCTGGCCATGAAAACAGAGCCACTCACACAGGACCAGACCTAAATGTGCTCAGGGCTCAGAGCCCTACTGGAAGTGTGTCTTCCATGCAGTACAGGAATCCCAAGCCAAAACAACTGAGATCTGCTTTGGTGATACTATATCCTTTCCTATCCTATACTACAGTATACTATACTGCAGTATACTATACTGCAGTATACTATACTATACTATACTATACTATACTATACTATACTGAAGGCAATAGTAACCATGAAATTCCTCACAGGAAGGGAACCACAACAGAATATTCACAGGACAAAACATCCACAAAGATAATTCTCAAGGAATAAGAGAGTACCAAAGAATTATGAAATGCACAAGGAAATCCAGCATCACATGAGCGACACTTCATAAGCCCCAACAAACTGGAGAATTCCAACCCAAAGAATTATGCAATAATATGAAGAGGACTAAAATATTAAACTTTTAATCTTCAAAGATATTAATGCATTCAACAGAAATATATTGTGTGCCTAGTCTAACTCAGGCATTATCCTAGACACCAAGAATATAACAGTGAAAATGACAAAGACCCTGCACTCAAGAAGCTTACATCCTGAAATAAAAACAGGAATATTATAATAAATAAATATATAATCACTTTCAGATAAATGCCATAAGAGATATAAGCAGGGTAACAGAAGAGACTACAGAAATGGTTACAGAGGTGTGAAAGATTGCTCCAGGCAAAAGAATAAGGATATAGGGTCTGCTGTATGGATGAATATTCTAGCCCAGACAGATGAAAAGAAATAGGAAGGATGGCTGAAGATGAGGTTGGAGAAATAGGGGCCACATATAGAGGCCTTGCAGTCCTTGGTTAAAAAGGCAGCTTTTGTTTGGTTATAATTTTATAGGAGCTCTCTGACTTCTACATGGAGGATTAACTGGAGTGGGAGTCACAAGGGCAGGGAGCGCAAGAGAAGCAGGAAAAGCAGTTAGGAGGACGGACACTAAAGAACGACCAGTTACATGTGAGTGTGGCAAGAAGTACAGGGATCAAGAGGAGATGGGGAGGTCTTCAGATTCCATGGATTTTTAGGGTATAGCCAACAGATTCTGCTGTTAGATTGAATGTCAATTTAAATGGAAAGGAATCAAGGGTTAGTCTCAGGTTTGGAGCGAAAGCCTATTTACTCAGGTAAGATGAGAAGGGCAGGTTTAGAGGAGGAATTCTTGAGTTCAGTTTTGTATTGTTAAGTTTGAGACACCTTAGAAATCTATGACTAGTTTATTGAAAGTCTGGACTCAGTAGGCCATGGGGATGTTCTTTGACACATATCTCTTCCCTATCCATTAGCTTTTGAGGTAGAACACATAATTTGCCAGTCACTTTAAATTATTAAAAACCTTTAGGTCACTCCTCTTAAAATACTCTATTCTCTTAGCAGTCAATCTTAGACCTACTGATTCAGAATAGGGAGGAAATACAATTTGCTTCTCCTTCCTGTCCACCTATCTGATTATAGTCCCACTGAGCTGGGGGTAGGAAGATGAATTTCACTTAATTAAGCATGCAATTTTCCTCCTCTGTTACTTGCAGTCCTTTTCTCTGAGGACATGAGTCTGACTGCCCTTCAATGTCATTTAGGGTAGGCCTTCAAATGTCTTGTAGAATACATGTTGAGTTCTTTGAACGAATCTGCCAGAGCTTGCCTAGTTCTGAGGACTCTATTGCACAGTCCCTGATGTCAGTGTTGACTCCAGTCTGGCCTAATACTGAGCCCCTCAGCTCCCTCCCCACAGTGTACCTCATAGTCTGTTACTACTGTCACCAAATAGGCACAAACTTATGCTGGGTAAGGTACCAGCATAAAATCTTATATAGATTTGGAAGAAAAGTGACATTTGGTACAGGAGAACTAACTGGGCATCATTTGTTAAGGCCTGAGAGCCAGCACCTCTGCATTGCACAACTCCAGGAAACCCTCCTTATCATGTCTGAGAATGCGGATCCCAGAGCTGTGCATTTCTCTTCATGAGGGCTCGTCTGGCTTCAGCCAGGTCAGGAGGGAGACGGGAGGTTATAACTTTTCTCAAGTTTTTGATACTAGTTGTCAATTTGGGGATAATAGGAAAAGTCCCACTCAGCATCCTGTTCCCCATCCAAGCATGCACTATGTATCAAAAAGTATACGTACATTTTTTAAATTTGTTTTTAATATTTATTTGCTAGAGACAGTGAGACAGAGAAAGAGAGAGACACAGAGAGAGAGAGAGCATGAGCAGGGGAGAGGCAGAGAGAGAGGGAGACAGAATCCAAGCAGTTTCTGTGCTGTCAGCACAAAGCCTAATATGGAGCTTGAACCTATGAACCATGAAATCATGACCTGAGCTGAAGTTGGATATTCAACCAACTGAGCCACCCAGGCACCCTGAATATGTAAGCTAAAAAAGTCTATTGCTAATACAATATATATGCCAGACACACCTTCTGAACCCATAAGGAATAGTAAAAGGAACAAACAAATCCTGGTTAATCTCAAAAAAAAAAAAAAAAAAAAAAAAGGCACAAAAAAGAAAAAATACAAAAACAAGTGTGTTTTTTTAATGAGGTGGGAGAAAAATATCCATATGTGTTCCTTAATATAATACAATAAATAAAATAATTGAGATACACATTTAAAATGGAACTACCAAAGAGCCTAAAGAGCCACTGGGAAAGAACAACAAAGCTAGAGGCATCCCACTTCTGGGTTTCAAACTGTATTACAAAGCTATAGCAATCAAAACAGTATGGTATTGGCATAAAAACAGAAACACATTATCAGTGGAACAGAGTAGAGAGCCCAAAAGTAAACCCATGGATATATGATCAATTTACAACAAAAAAGCCACAGATATACAAAGACAACTTCTCCATAAATGGTGTTGGGAAAACTAGATAAATACATGCAAAAGAATGAAATTGGACCATAACTTACAACCATACACAAAAACCAACTCAAATGGAATAAGGAATTAAATTTAAGACCCTACACCATAAAACGCCTAAAGGAAAACATAGTGGGTAAGCTCCTTGGCATTAGCCTTTGCAATGAATTTTTGGATTTGACACCAAAAGCGAATGCAAGAATAAATAAGTGAGATTATATCAAACAAAAAAGCTTCTGCACACCAAAGGAATCCTTCAACAAAATATAAAGGTAACATACCAAACGAGAAAATATTTGCAAATCATATATGATAAGGGGTTAATATCCAAATTATATAAAGAAAACATACAACTCAATACCAAAAAAAACCCAAAACAAAAGCAGTCTGGCTTTAAAAAGGACAGAGAAACTGAATATACATCTTTCCAAGAAAGACATCCAAATGGTCAACAGGTACATGAAAAATCGTTCAACACAACTTATTATCAAGGAAATGCAAATCAAAACCACAATGAGATGTCACTCACACTGTTTAGAAGGGTTACTAT